TGCCATCATGAACAAAAAATATTTTCCCCATGTTTATATCCTGCTGGGTAAATGTATTAATGCTTTGACCGGGATTATCAACATTTTCGATGTAACCCATTGCAGAGATGTCACTGAGCGTGGAGTACTGTACCTCATCGACGTCATTATCAGGATCATTGGCATTCAGAATATCAGTGGAAATCATACGTTTTGTGTTCAGTACTAGCTGAAAGAGATTCCCTGGCGGCATGATAAATTCAGGAATATCATTAACGGCTTGAATCTCAATTCTAAGTACAAAGTTATTGTCCTCTTGCAGGGCTGTAGGTAACTCGCCATCATTCCCAAGAATGTCAACTTCGAACGTCATGCGGTCAATGAAGTTCTCGGTTCCATCATGGCTGTATATAATCCTTCCTCCAATCACATCAAGAAGAGTGAAGACATCGTTGTTATCACGTCTCAAAACATCATGAATAAGTTCTCCAAACCTGGGTTTGCGAACAACACGAAATACAACCTGCGACTCTCTCAGTCCTAATTCGTCTAAATCAACATTCACTTCTATTTGGTCTGAAGTGATCACTGCTTCACCACCCTCCTCTACCTCAAGTGTCCCCAAAACAAGAAACTTCTTTGATTTACCACTGTCTTTTCCCTTTTTCTTCTTGTCTTTCTTCTCCTCAGTAATCTCAGAAATATTTGTCTCCTCAATTATAGCTATGTCTTCAATTGGTTTTTCACAAACTTCTATGTTACATTTACATTCATATTCAGACCATCCTGATTCCAGGCATTCAGCTTCAGGAATGCACGGCTCCCTAGAACATGGATATTCCCACACACAACCAGGCTTGATCAGGTTAGTAGCTCGAGCATCCGGTATGCTGAAACCAACCCCATTGATTTCAATATCTCGCATACAACCTTGGAATGATACATCATCTTGTTCTCCAGTCAGGGATGCCAGATCCAACCGTGATGCAATATTTCTAATTCGTTGCAACACGCCTCCGACAAACAGAGGTCCGCTCAATTCCAAAACCTGCCCTTCCCCATCTTCTAAAGTCAAAATCTGGGGTTTACGATCAACGCTGATTTCTAAAAACGACTCCTCAATACGTAGCATTATCCAGTGCCACTTGCGATCATTAATCTTTATGTCTGACTGCAGCTGATTGGTCCAATTCCCTTGTTTATTAACATATGAATTTTTCCCTCAACAATTTCCACTGCAGCATAGTCTTCTCCTTCGCCACCACTATACAAAAGGAGACCGATCTCGGCGTGAGTTTTTAACCAACAAGAGAAAGATCCTTTTTCTTCCGCTTCCCACTTTGCATAAGACAAGTAGGAAGATCCTTCAGTGAAGCTCACAGCATCATTGGGTGATGCATCGAACTCTGCACTACAGTTCCACGTTACACCTTCTATCTCAGCGTACTGTTTCAAGAAATCGTTTTCCATCAAATCCTCTGCAGTTTGGTACAAATCTACTGAATTGAACGTAACATCACTGATACATCCACGGAAGTATTTCTCTGATTCTCCTATATAATCTTTCTTTAGGTTTCCAGGACCCCCAATATACACACCTTCCTCAATGTTCAGTTCAAAAAACTCTCCAGATGCTACAACAGAGACTGTGTGCACTTCATCAATTGTCAAATTAACATTCTCGTTAATTCTGTGCAAGTCCACTGTATGCCACTGCAAATCGTTCAGTTTTAATCCCTTTGTGCTCTCAATCCCAATAATTCCGGCACCAAGGTCCATCCACACTTGAACCTTTCCAGACCGAAGCTCAATTATGCAATAGTCAGTATCTCCGGCAGCGAGGAGCAGTAGACCCCTCGTTCGACTTGTTCGAAAACGGAGATGAATTTCTGTTTCACTGCTTACTTCATTCACCGGAAGGCTTACGTAACTGGCTCCATAGAAGGATGCTGTAACGAGAAAAAGAAAAAGCAAATTTAAAAGAAATGTTCACCCTTAAATATTTTAGTGTAAGTATATACATTACATATGAAAAACTAATTTTTTCTCAAGTTGAGGCAAATTTCAAATTTTGCATGACTTATGTGCAATGCATTATGGGAGAGAAATTACAAGTTTTATGTGTTACTGAGAATATACACAATGCTGAAAATATTACATTGAACTTGAGACAGAAACAAATGTACAGATGTGATATACAGGAGTCCATCTATTCTTGACTTTTGCATGTCATTATGCTAATATCACCATCGATTAGAAAAACATTGAGGGGATTAATATTTTTTTCTCCTTTTTTCATGTTTTCCATTTCACCGTAAAGCATCCATATGGGAAAATGAAACGCACTCAACAGACAAGTGAAATTGTTAGCGCACATATTCATGGTTCATTTAGACATTGTCATTTGTCATTTGTTCTCAAAACAATGTATAAACTAGCTCATTTCCTAAAGCACAAGGCCATGATGCAACTTGCTTGGATCAGATTAGCATATTACCGGTAATTTTGGCGGCCATCTTGGTACACTCTTATTCCCCTTTATGACCTGTAGGCAATGGGGAATTACAATGCATGTCCAAATGGTCTAAAATTAACGAAGAAACAATACAAAAATACATGAAAATATACAAAATACACCCAAATTTTACCAGGAAAAATAATGGCAATTTACTTATACATAAAATATCAGTATAACATGCTGAAGTAATACATGTACTAGATTTAGGAAACTTCCTCACAATAGCGCCCTCACATGCCGGTTACATTTACAAAATAGACTGAATTTTTAATACGGTTCTGTATTCCACTACAAAAAATTCAAGTTATTATACTGTATATAAAAAATGTGACTTCTCAAAAATTCATGAATATAATTCTAGAAGCAATAAATAATGTTTAACTTAATATATAAACCGGCATCAATTTTTTCCTTTTTTTAAAAAAAAATCGATTAAAACTGGTAGGCAATGCTAAATTATTATATTTGAATCAAAATTAATTTTTAAAAATATTCTGAAAAATGTTGTACCTAATTTTGGAGGAAAAAATTATGGCATACACAGGGCCAAGAAGGGCAGTTTTCACTGCCGTTTGAAAAATTAGTCACTGGTGCAAAAAAGTTTTGAAAAATAACATTATTTTTGGGTTTATTAAGGAGGATACCAAACAATTATTAAATTGGAAAATGGAATCTAATAAGCATCAACGTGTGAGTAATCGGGACAGACGGCGTACTGCGCCATGACAAACTGAAAACGGTCTTCAGGGACAGATTGAGATGATTTTGAGAGAGAATATTACACATATCGTCTTTTCATCTCAATGATGAAGTAATGAGAATGATAACACAATTTACTGATGTAATCAAGAATAAAATAACTACATTTTACACCTTCGTTTTCGCAGTAATACGCTCCAGGGTTATTTTGTATGTAACATCTGTCAAGTATGATGTAATTCTGACATCATCATCGTATGTCGGCTGCTTCTTTCATCTGCAGACATTTTCCAGGCAAAATTTTAGTTCATTTATTCAATAATTATAAACTAACATGGCCAGACTAATATATTGTCTGCTGAAAACTTTCATGGATAGCCAAAAATGAATGGGGTAAAAAAAGGCATCATACAAATATTTTATGAACATAGCAAAAATATTTTTTGGCAAGGAATATTGAATCATGTGACTTTGATGCAAAATGCAACACTAGCTGCTTTGAAATAATGTCAACTACTAAGCTTTATATCAGTTTTCATCTATATAGTTTTCTATTGATAATTTTTGTTTTCGTAATTTTTGATGATTTGAATTCAAACATCCATTATTGATGTCATACCTGACATTTCTAGGTGTTTTCATGAAAATTTGTGTACCAGACAGGATTTCTGTCAAAACACAATCGCAGACTCGCTAATACGCCAATTAAAATTGACTGCACATGCAGTCATACAAGCCATTTTAAAGCGACGTTATCTGTGATTTAGAATATTTTTCTTTTTTTTAAATATTAAACATATAAAATAAAGATGACCAAATCTTACCAACACAATTGCATGGTATACAGTCACTGTAATCGGTTGTTTATAAATCTATTAAGAACGACATGTACTTTGTATTTAAGCATTATGTTAACTAAATAGATTCTTGATGTTTTGCAGTCTAACAACTTTCATGAAATAGATTACAAAGATAAACTATAAACTTTCGAGGTATCTGAACTTTGTTTCCATGGAAATTACTATGTAATTTTTTTTTTTATAGTTAAGCCAATTTCATGCACTTGTGGTTCATTGTTAAAAAATTCGTTTGAGTAGCGTTTGAGTTTCAAATAGCCAGTCACGGTTGTAGGGAATAATTTTTAATATTCCTTCACAAATTTTGATGGCCTTCAATATTATTTTGCAAGTAGGAAATAATCCTGAAACAAACGCTAAAAAATGCAATAAATATAAATAAACCACAGTGTTCGTAGATGGATTTTGTGGACAGAATACGTCTCGGGAATCATCTGATTGATACTATCACAATAAAAAATACCTGCCAATACGTCCTTTGTTGTAAAATTTTACACACACATGTCGCATATGAACGCTGATCGTTTCAGACCCACATACTGACATTAAGCACAGCGATAAAGTCAACTTCTGTTATCAGCTATATTTTCGGAACTGTCATTATTATTATCTGTGGTGCACTTAATAGCATGCAATAAAAGCACCAAAATTGTTGATACAAAAATATACATAAATGAAATCTCTAAATCGTTTTCTGCTCTTAATTCTGTCAATTCTTAATTCTTTCATACAGCAACAACAAAACATACTAAATGGGAATTTAACTATGTTAATACCATAAGATTAAATAAAACTTAAATATTTTGCATAATTGATGAGAGATTTTAACCTTTTCACCACCAGTTCCTTCTTTTCATCACAAATTCACAAAATAATCTTGTTTATAGTCTACACTTTCCTTCAGAAGATTGTTCCAAAAATAGCCAAATTTTTTGAGTAAAAACTGAAAATTGATTCTAATTTTGTCTTTTGGCTCGAAAATTAGGATTTATTTCCAGAAATATTGAATAATATAAGAAAAAAATGAGAAAGTCTGGTGGTGAAAAGGTTGAAGATAATATGTCTGTTTTAATTCTTCAGTTTCAGGAAACCTTTCAAAGATATATTCCCATAGAAATCAGCTATGCTGACTCAATACATTTGGTTCCCTCCATTGGGAGAAACTGAACACAAGTTCATTGTCACAGAGTGATTGAATGTGTATATAACATCAATGTCAAGGCAAAATGAACCATGTAGAAAGGTATTCATGAAAATATGATCACTCACTCAAGTACTAATAAATACACACAAGACTATCCCAGTAAAATATATAATAAGAGCTGCTTGTTTCTCTCTTTCACCACTAGGGGGCATGCTACATAATCAGGGTGTACAATAGAGGTAGGTTACTATAAATTGCTGTATTTTCGTGCGACAAATTTTTGACAATCTTGAATTTCGTCCTCATATTAAAACAAAGCTACCAAATTCACAATTGATAGAATCGAAAAAATATAACTCACTACATATTTAATGAAAGACAGAGTAAGAGTTTTCCACTTGAATTCTCAAGGGAGAGAGGATTTGGTTTTTAACAAATATTTTATTCACATATTCTAGAATAAAAAATTTTTTTACATCATATTGATTCACTAAGACAATTTTGTTCTCCCAAAATTTCTAGTCTAACAGGTTTGGTCTTCAGTTACTCCTCTCCTTTGCTGAATGGTTTCATGTGAATAAACAATTTAGACAATATTGTCTACAATTTGAAGGGGCAATTCTACGGAGTGCAAGTCACAGGTGGCTCTATTGTTAATATTGCTATAGAATGGCAAAAAAAAAAAAAAAATATTGGTTAAAGTACACTTCCTAACAAAGTGTCTCCTCACTGACTGAACAGTCAGATGTTATAAATTTGTTAGCTAAAAAGTACAGGAAATTCTACGTATAGATGTATTTTTAAGTACAACATTTTTGTTATACTGTCAATAGCCAATAGGGAGATAGTTTGCAAGTTTCTGGATAAGGAAAGGAGATTTTAGCAAGATATCTGAGATGAGAAAACTGTTAAGTCTCCACACATCTTGCTGGTACAATTGTCATGCAAGAGAAACGTAATAGAAATCAGGATGTCTGCAGAATAACGAAGGTTAATATTGTGCAAGAAGTGACAATTTTGCAAACAACAAGATACTGAATCGACACCATGGTGATTTTGTGCATCCCAAGGGGGGAATACTTCAGACACTAAATACTAGTTTGAAAACAAATGGTCTCATTTTAGGCGTGAATCCCCCAATGGTTTCCGCAAAACATGTGAGGCCCAAGATTAAAGTGACGTGTATAGTCATGCGTTATAAGCTTGTTACTATGGAGATTTGTTATTAGGAGTGACATCTGTTTTGTGCCTGAAAAATACGGAAACGATCATCTTAGGAAATATATATCAGTTAGGATAATGATATAGAGCAACTTAGAGAAATTTATGTTTTTTTCAATGTAGAAAGCTTTGAATATAAATGTCCCAAAATGCACTGCAAAATCCAAGATGGAGTCTAATAAAAAAATGCACTCTCATGGCATGAGAATCAAAATCAGTGTAAAACACTGGAAGAAAATGTAACACAATCTGAAAAGATCTGAAACAAATAATTGGTGAAAGGGTTAATAAGAAAAGCTAATAGCTTCTCATTAAAGTCTTGCGGTAAACTGCACATATTTGCTTCTGGCCATCTGTAAAATTTAGTAAATTGAACGATAAATATTCACCTCAAACTTCTACCAGTTTATTAAACCCCCCAAGACAATTTCTCATATACCTAAAATCAAAATTATTGTTTTCTACTGATTTGCAACAATCCCCCAAGACTGAACACTACGGAACAACGAA